AGTAGTAGTAGTAGTCGTCGTCGTGTAGTAGCAGATTTAGTAGTAGAATCTTCTGGTACGTTTCTAGTACCGTAACGCCGTTGACCCACGCCTGCGTTGCTTCAGAAGCGCTGACAAGAAGTAGTCGCGGAAGGCAAATCCAGAAGTTCAGAACCTGAGAAAAGGTTTAGGGATTCAAAGAATTTAGGGCTTTATGCGGCTAGGTGTAGGATTTAGGCTTTTGGGTATTTAGGTTTCAGGGTTTAGGGTGTAGGGTTCAGGATTTAGGGTTTGGAGCATTGGGGTTTTAGGGCTTGGGCCCATGCAGGTATACTCGTAGAGAGCCCTGATTTGCCCCAAAACCCTAATGCTTACCTAGATCTTTACTACGGCATGGGGATTTGAGGGCTTTTGGGGCTTGTGAGGTCCACGGAGCACAGCTAAAGGCTGTGCTAATGATGATGCTTTGAACCCCAAGGGAAGTTTAAGGGTCTAGGGCTTGGGGTTGAGGGCATGCTGCGTCTTGACATCATCTAGGGACGCTCGAAAGAACGCAAGGCTCTGCTGATGAGTCGGGCCAGAATGCAGGTTCAGTTGCTTTGATGCACTGGAGCTGGGATGTGGCGGAGAAATCTTCAGGCTGAGCGGCTTGAGCTTTCCTCTCAATGCTACGCTCTGGGATCCCGATCGCAAGCACATGAAGCCCTGAGCTCCAAACCTTAAACCCTCAACCCCCAAAGCCCTAAACCATCATACACACTGAACGCCCGAAACCCTGAACTCGCTAAGCTCCAAAACAACGAACACCAAACCACACCTTAGATTCGGAGACCCACCGTCCGAGTCACGAGCTGCACCGCCCCGAATGCAAACTGCAGCGGAACGTAGAGAAGGAAGAGCAGGATCGATCTGGAGAGCAGGAGAAATCTGGGTAGAAAACAGGAGCCACCAGGCTCAGAATAGGGCTTTGGCGTATATTATGATTTTAAGAAGAGTAAAAGGCAGCCTTAATGAGTAGAATAGGTCTTGGGGGAATATTATAACTATAATAAGAAACTCAGAAAGAAACTGGGTAAGTATGTATTTAGGCCCCACTCTTGTCATTTGTGTGTTAGGGTCTGGGGCTTGCAGTTGCGCCAGAATCGAATCTCAGCCGTAATAAAGTGTTTTGGGGTTTAGGGCTTAGGGCTTAACACCTCCATCTTTCCATCGATGTACTACCTATCTGTTCCTTCTTTACCCACCCACCCAACCACCCACCCACCCACTTACCCACCGACCGACCGACCGACCGA